TAGGATGCACCTGTGCTCATCTCAATACCATAATCAAAGAATTGCTCTTTTATTAGAACAATTTAAAAAAGTATCACAGGAAATGCACCTGTCGTTTCTACATCAAGCCCACCAGTTGAGGGATTGGAATGAACCGTTTCCTGTGTCGGCAGATAGAGCATTGATCAGTGTAAAAAGAGGTTGTGACAGTAACAGGAGTGATCGCTCTGATTTTCTGCTGTGAAGCAAGTTTTTCAAACTCAGACAGTTAGTCCTGGAAAGACACTCACAGTTTAGCTTTGACTTTGGACTGGGCCCTATCCATGAGGGTTTGTATTTGTGGAGCAAGTGAGAGCTCAAACTTTTACCCCCCACCCCTCATTGAAATCCCTTGAGCTTGGTCTTTGACGTGGGGCAAATGAATGCATTGAAGTGAGCACCTTACCTTCACTGACTGCTGGGCCATGAACACTATTCCAGAGCTGGTCACCACTGCTCAAGATGGCCAGACCTCACAGCCCTAGCCGGTTTGGCTCAGTGGATAGAGCATCGGCCCGTGGACTGAAGGTCAAGGGCACTTGAAGGTCAAGGTTCGACTCTGGTCAAGGGCACATACTTTGGTTGTAGGCTGGATCCCCAGCCCCAGTCGGGGCGCGTGCCAGAGGCAGCCAATCCACGTGTCTCTCTCACATCGATGTTTCTCTCTCTCTCTGTCTCTCCTCCTCCCTCCCACTCTTTCTAAAAATCAATGGAAAAATATCCTCAGGTGAGGATTAACAACAACAGCAACAAAAAAAACCACACAAATAAATAAACAATTAATGAAAGAAGAAGAAAAAGTGGCCAGACATCTTTTCACAGCTGGCTGATGGCATTTATATCCTTTCTTTTTTCTTTCTTTTTTCTTTTTTTACAGCTGTTGTGAACTTGGACAATTCTGTGGTTGACCTGGAGACCCTTCAAGCTCTTTATGAGAATGTGAGTAATAGAAGGAATTGGAAGTGTGAGTATATAATACGTACACACTACTTGTCACTGTACGCAGCTAGGCTTGTTGCTTTAAGAAGGAAATCTGCCCTAGCCTGTTTGGCTCAGTGGATAAAGAGTCGGCCTGCGGACTGATGGGTCCCAGGTTCGATTCCTGGTCAGGGCACATGCCCAGGTTGCAGGCTCCATCCCTAGTAGGGGGCGTGCAGGAGGCAGCCAATCAATGATTCTCTCTCATCATTGATGTTTCTCTCTCTCTCTCCCTCTCCCTTCCTCTCTGAAAACAATAAAAATATATTAAGAAGGAAATCTGATCTGGGTGCATTGTATGTATGTAAGTAAGTATAGGTTTGGCAAAATGCTTTCTAGGAACGCATGGAACAAGTGAGTGAGAAGCCAGTCTCTCTGGTAAGGGCCAGAAAAGTTGGGGTGCGAGATTTCCAGGCCAAGTCCTTCACTTCCCCGGGCGGAAGCTGGGAGCCGGAATTTGCTGTTGGCTCACGGTGTGCCGAGCCGGGCGGGGGAGCTGTGGCAAGCGCTTGTAGTCTTGTCGCAACTGCTGCTCTGTTCTCGGCAGCCCCCAGGGGACCAGTGAATGGTGGTTCCCGTCAGCTCTCAGAGACAAGCAAGTTAGCAGCTAGATCCTTGGGTGTAGGAGCCAGAAAAATTGTAGTAGCTAGATGTGCAGTTCAAACTCTTCACTCCTCAGGGAGAAGCTGTATGTGAGGGAGAAGCTGTATGTGAGGGAGAAGCTGTATGTGAGGGAGAAGCTGGTGTGAGGGAGAAGCTGGTGTGAGGGAGAAGCTGGCTATAAAGGGACCCCTCCCAGTCGCATGGCCTGTGCCTGTGGTGGAGATTATGACAAGGGTCTGCCTCAGCTTTTCCTACAAGTTTCTTTTGTTTTCTTTTTTAAAAAAAATATATTTTTATTGATTTCAGAGAGGAAGGGAGAGGGAGAGAGAGATAGAAACATCAATGATGGGAGAGAATCATTGATCGCCTGCCTCCCGCATGCCCTCTACTGGGGATCGAGCCCACAACCCGGGCATGTGCCCTTGCCTGGAATCGAACCTGGGACCCTTCAGTCTGCAGGCCGATGCTCTATCCGCTGAGCCAAACCGGCTAGGGCTTGTCACTCCTTTTGATGTGCGTCTTGCTCGTGTGACGGCATCTGCAGAAGGGAAAAGTGGCCTGTGCACACTTGGACTTGGCTTGGGTTCTCCTGGGAAATGTTTCAAAGTTCACTGTGTTGTCATAACTGTAATCATTGTGTTCAGGTCTGAAAGCAGCGTTTGAAAGGTATCTGAGGGGAATCTTAATTTGGCCTTTATTGTTTACTAATGGCGTTGCAGGGAACATTTAAATTTTGTCTAGAAAAATTTTATCTAGAAAAAAATAAACGAGAGTGTAGTGTTTAAACTCAGTTTGTTGTTATTAAATATATGAGGAGACTAATCTTATTTAGCATTCCACTACTTATCCTGGAGGCCAAAATAACATAACTAACCTGAAACCTTTCCCATAAATACATGCTTTTTTTTTTTTTTTGCCAGATGCTTGCATGCATGTCATGGGACTGTTTGAAAGCAGTCGCATTTGATCTCTGGGTAACAGATGGAAGTATTTGCTACACAAACCTTATTTAGAATATCAACTTTTTTCCCCTCCCCTAATTGCATATGTTTGGCAGCGGCCTTTCTCCTCTAGATGTGAATGAGTGTGGGGCAGCCTCCAAATCGAAACACACCCTAATTTCAAAAAGCGCAATCCTGAGCGCCCGATTCCTGTTTCCTGAGGAGTTAAAACCCAGTGAAACGACACAGTTACTAAATACACTACATCCTTCTGACCTTTCAGAACCAAAAATCTCTCCGGTTCTCTCAAGGTTATTGACTGTTATTGAGTTCACATAGTAAAGACTCTTTATAAGCAGTTTATAACATGTCCAGTTGATTCGACATATCTTTTGCTTCTGATTTTTAATATACCTGTACTAGAGGCCCGGTGCACGAAATTCGTGCAAGAGTAGGCCTTCCTTCCCTTGGCTGCTGGCACTGGCTTCCCTCTGGCACCTGGGACCTGGGCTTCCCTCCGGCCACTGGTTTCGTCTGGAAGGTCGGCTGGAAGGATGTCCGGAGGGACATCTGGTCTAATTAGCATATTACACCTTTATTATTATAGATTCTATATGGCAGGTGGCTCAGGCAGGCAGTTCTGGCCTCCCAGTCCAGCTTTGGTGAGGCAGCTTCGGCAGTTCTCTGCTGCTCTGGGGTTACAGCTCAGGCTGGGGAAATGCAGTCTTACAAGGAAACTGTATGTGCCCTCCATGGAAACAGAGGTGAAGCTGGCTTAATTAGAGAAGAGGTCCTGTCCCAGTCCCTGATTGGTCAGTTTTCATGAAAATGAGGGCTCCATAGTCTCACAGTTTGATTGGTCCAGAAGCAAGGTCCTTAGTGGTCAGAATGGAGTCACTCTGATTGGTCAGTGAAGATGCAAACGAGGATTCAGTTGCACAACTCTGATTGGACAGGGAAAGACAGTTGAAATAAGATCCTAGGATCTCTCTTAGAAGGGTTGGTTGACCCAGATGGCAGGAGCACAGTACAGCTTTTCCCTGAAGCACGGAGCGCGGGAGAGAGCCCTGGTTAGCCATGACCCGGAGACTCTGTTGATAAATGTGAACCCAAGTAGCCACCAGGAGGCCTTCGTAACAGGCACATTGATTCTCAGGGTCCACAGATGGGAAGATGCCTATGCCAAATTTCACACTTCCCTGAGAAATTCTGGTCCGACTACTGACCTAGGAAAGACCACAGGCGGGCCTGTCTTTACTATGTATTGACCTGAATCTAAGAGATACCCAAGATTTCTAGTATTTGGAAAGAGAGGAGGGGAGCAGCCAAAGATCTGTTGCTGTGTTCACATTCTTTATAAAGTAGATGGAGACTAAATTCTTCGCAGATAAAAATGATTTGGGGAATGACTTTTATGTTTAGCTCCAGCTTTGATCCCTGCTGCTATTTTTGTCCTTGGATTTTAGCTCTAAATGCAAACCTTGTTGGATAATGGAAACACTTGTTTGCTGCTCCTTTTAACGAAGCTGCTTTCGGTCCCGAAGGAGGTCTCCCCTCAGAAGAACCTGAATTGCACATCCGTGCGTGTGGTGTTGAATGATCATCACCCTGTCTGTCTCTACCAGCCATTGTTTTTATATTAACTGTCTTCTTCCGTGATGTGCCTCTGGCTTCTTTGAGCACATTAGCACACTTTTTAGCTCGGTGGAGTACAGAGAGTATTTCTTGGCCCTTTGCTCTTTAATAACTATTCCGCTCTCGTGGGAGGACTGTCTCTCCTGACACGTGTGTACTAAACATTTCCCAGTAATTTTCCATGATGGCAGGCGAGCAGTAGAGAAATAGTGCAGTTGGCTAGTAACCACGGTAAATTATTCCATCCCAACGCCATAAATGTTCGAGATACCTCCTGTAAATCCCTTTTTTCTGCTAATGCTCTGGGAATGTACGTACGGCTAGGAATATTATAGCTCATGTAGAATACTTTCAGGGTTGGCTTGTGTATGGTCATATTAGGTAGAGATTTCCAACGGTAGTAAATGTTGATTGTTTTATAAGTACAAGCCAAGAGCCTTGGTTTTTACTAAAGCTTGGGTCATGACTTGAAATTATGCACGAACAGTAATAACATTGGATGCTTTTGACATATTAGCTTGAGAGGATAATTACCTTTCCTCCTGGAGGCCCATGATTGCGACAACTAAAATTTAATGTGCAATAAAGTTATTAAAGAAATAAATAGCCAAGTCTTTTTTAAGGATATAAAACGCCTATCAACCTTATTTAGGAGGTTGAATGATTCCAGATGGCATCTCATGAGTGTTTGGTTCTGAATTTCTTTTTGTTTACTTGCATGTTTGCCAATATATGGTTAAGTGCTCAAGGTTTTAGGTCCCTGAAGAGCAGCTGTTCAGCCCTTAGACATACAACGTTAGATTGCTGTGCGTGTGCCGCTGCCATTTTGCGAATTCTCCTCAGTCCTGGGCATTTAAAGATATTCCAGCCCTGGCTGGTTTGGCTCGGTGGATGGAGCGTCGGCCTGCGAACTGACGGGTCCCGGGTTCGATTCCGGTCAAGGGCATGTACCTTGGTTGCAGGCACATCCTCATTAGGGGGTGTGCAGGAGGCAGCTAGCTCATTGATGTTTCTAACTCTCTATATCTCTCTCCCTTCCTCTCTGTAAAAAATCAATAAAATATATTTTTAAAAAAAGATATTCCAGTTATTCACTGTACCTGGAGAAGAAAGATCTGTGCAGTTGTAGAATGTGAATCTATGGATCATAAAAAGTGTATCTCTTGAAAAGCTAGTTTTCAATATTAGAGGAAGTATGAGTCAACAAATAGTATGGAGACCAGCCAGAAACTCTTTAATGTGTAATGTTCAAAAGGATAATTTAAATTGTCCTTTAAATAATGCAAAAGCATTTCCCCTTAAAATTGCTAAGAGATTCCCAGTCCAATGCAATGAAAGCTATTTCATTCATAACATACCTGACATACAGATTCCCCACTCGCCCCCCAAATCAAATGGTGGATGTCAAGTATGCAACTGAATAATTGCAGGCAAATGTCATTAGTGCTGGGATAGAATTGTGTGGAAAGAGCAGGAGAGTTGCTGAAGAGCCAGCATTATTTGATCTTGCAGGAGCTAAGATAATCTTCATAGTTGGGCAATGTTTGGGGCTATTCTTCCATGGTAAACACAGGTTGGTAACATGTTTGAGAGAAGAGTTGAAAACATGTTCCCAGAAGATGGAGCAGTTGGATCAAAGGCATAGATGTGAAAAACTAGAATGTATTTTGGGTGAGAAAGTCTGTTTCCGGAAAGTAGTACATAGGGGAATTGGAGTTGGAGTTGGACAGGGGTAGATCAGATTATTATTTTTTTGTTATGGAGTGGTATGAGTTCCTTATGTATTTTGAATATCAACTCCTACTTGGATATATTCTTTGTGAATATACAGGGGTGGGAAAAAGTAGGTTTACAGCTCATATGGAAAATAATACAATAATTAATAAATAATACAAGAAATAAACTGTTTCGTGTACTCATAACTATAAACCTGCTTTTGCCCACCCACTATTCTCCCATTCACTTGATTGTATTTTTGTTTCGTTGGTTGTATTTTCCTTTGCTGTACAGAAGCATTTTAGTTTGATGATGTTCCATTTGTTTATTTTTGCTTTTGTTTTCCTTGCTTCAAAGAGAAATATCCAAAAAGATATTACTAAGACAAGACTACAAATAAAACACCTCCAAAATCTCCATAAAGAAGAAAAGACTTGTGATTCTCCAAGTCTATAAAGTCTTGTACCTTCTGTTAAAAATGCGGACCGTCACTTATAAAGAAGCAAATTATGCTGATAAAATTTTAGCTTGATATTATAAAAGGTTGGGAAAGAAAAGAAGCATGAGGCCTTTTATTGTATCCAAAAGAAAACTCAGAAGTATAAAACCTTTTATTTTCGCTCCATGACTTAATAATTCAATTGTATTTTTCTTTCCCCTGAGGAAAAATATCCATAAACAATGATTGAAATAGGTAAATAAATACATTTTTCCCCTGTAACAATCTTAGACCAACCGTAGGATCAAATTGAATTTCCTTGATTCCTTAATGAGAAATACCACTTTAACATGAAAGTCTTGCCTTCTGGAGGGGATTATAAACAGCTCAAAGAGCAAGAGAAGAAGAACGTATTGTTTTAAAACATGCTTGAATAAGTGTTTTGCAGATCACTGATAGTCAATAACACTATTTGGAAGATTTGGAGATGATCTGGTTTCCATTAAACATATTTACACTTTCAGATGCCTCATGAATGATGTCAAGCTTTCCTACAAAGGGATGCTAAGAAATATGAAAATACTAGAGGCCCGGTGCACGAAATTCATGCACAGGCAGGGTCCCTAGGCCTGGCCCGCGATCAGGGCTGATCTATGAGGCGACCAGTGGGGCGATCGAGGTACTCCCACTGGCACCTGCCTTGGCTGGCCTGGGGCCTGTGGGCTGGGGGCAGCTCCTGCATTGAGCATCTGCCCCCTGGTGGTCAGTGCACGTCATAGTGACCAATCGTTCTGCCGGTCACTCCGCCGTTCTGTCTATTTGCATATTAGGCTGTTATTATATAGGATCTGTTTTGCTGTACTAAGATCATCCTTATCTAAGGGACTCAGTTGACCCCATCTTGCCTTTTGATTTGCAGAGAGCACAGTCGGATGAACTGGAAAAAATTGAAAAGCACGGCCGGTCCTCCAAAGACAAGGAAAGTGCCAAGTCCCTGGACAAGCCCGAACAGTAAGCATCTCTTAGGACCGTGCAACGGGCCTCCAGGCCTGGGCAGGCTCACTCCCTTTGGAAAATGCAGGATCTTCTGTTCATCGTTGTTATGCGTGATATGAGCTTGGACATCTGTTTCTCTGAGTTACATCTTTCTCTCTGTACGTGGCTTTCTTCCCTTAGGTTCCTGTATGAGCTGTCACTAATCCCCAACTTTTCCGAGCGGGTCTTTTGCATCCTGTTCCAGTCCACGTTTTCGGAAAGCATTTGCTCGATCCGTCGCAAACTTGAGTTGCTGCAGAAGTTGTGTGAGGTGGGTTGTGGTGTGTGGAGAGCGGACGCTGGGATTCTGATGATTAAGTTGTGTTCAGGCACGTTCACATTTCAGAAAAGTTTGATTTATTCTAAGAACTCAACAAATTTGAAGGCTAGCCGGCCCACGGAAGAGAACGTGTTATGACTGAGCTTTGAGAACCAAAGCTAAAGTGCACGTGGGACCACAATGCTTGAATGTGGCCATTGCTGATCTTTTCTTTCTTTCTTTTTTTTTTTTAATGTTTTTATTGATTTCAGAGAGGAAGGGAGAGGGAAAGAGAGATAGAAACATCAATCATGAGAGAGACTCGCGGATCAGCTGCCTCCTGCACCGCCCCCTACTGGGTATCAAGCCCACAACTCAGGCATGTGCCTTTGACTGGAAAATTGAACCTGACCCTTCAGTCCGCAGGCCGATGCTCTATCCACTGAGCCAAACCAGCCAGGGCCAGAATCATTACTTTTCATGGCCCTCAAATACATCGAACTCCCTATTAAATGTTATTTGAAGGCATTTTATGTACTTTCTGTCGTATTTGGAAGGGTCCCTCAATAACACGTGATTGATTCCAACCAAAGGATTTAGGATCAGCTGTACGACTCAACAGAAGGTCAATAGTCTTCTTAAAACAAAGAATACGTTTTTGGCAGAAATTAGCAATATGAACATTTAAAACAGTTTGTCACAAATCAATAGTACCAATTGTTGTGGTTGAAAAGTAGTAATAAGGTATTAAAGGCACATTTTCAGAGGATGTGACATGCAAAATCAGGTTAAATGATGAGTTTTGGAAGACGTGAGTATGGATTTTTCAGGGATGAACCTAAATTTGGACATTAATCTTTGGAACTATGTTTCGGTTTCCCACCACTATGCCATACATTTGTGTTGCTGCTGAGGTGGGTACAATTAGGCTGGCAGCAAGGACATTATTTTGTAGTAACTGTCATCGTGTAGCCTTATTTGTTTCACAGAAATGGCCTAGATTTCTTCCTCTCGGAGGCACTCCTCTTCAAATATGATAACGACCAATAATAAAGTTTGGATGTCACCCCAAATGGTCAGTGTCAGATGAATATCTGCCACTGACTTAAGAAAATTCAAACAAAACTTAGTATCAGAGAGAAATGGCTCTTCATTCTGCTTACAGACTTTGAAAAATGGCCCCGGGGTTATGCAGGTGCTGGGATTGGTCCTGGCCTTCGGCAACTACATGAATGGCGGGAACAAGACTCGGGGACAGGCCGACGGGTTTGGGTTAGACATCCTTCCGAAGCTGAAAGACGTCAAAAGCAGTGTAAGTATTTTGTGTGAATGAATGTAGGCAAATTGAGGATTGGACTGTGTGTGTGTGTGTGTGTGTGTGTGTGTGTGTGTGTTGTTGTTGTTGTTGTTTTTACAGTATATTTTTATTGATTTCAGAGAGGAAGGGAGAGGGAGAGAGATAGAAACATCCATGATGAGAGAGAATCAATGATTGGCTGCCTCCTGCATGCCCCACACTGGGGATCGAGCCCACAACCTGGGCATGTGCCCTGACCCCCGTGACCTCCTGGTTCATAGGTTGACTGAGCCATGCCCGTTGAGCTGGTTAGTAGTTAGACTACAAGTCAGTTGTAATAAATGTCTCTTTATGGTTCTGAACTAAAGAAAAGTAATGGCCATCCCATATTTGTGATTTAGTGAATGACAATGTTTCCTGTAGTTTTGAGTGCTGTGCCTAATGAATAAGCAGACAATATTTTAAAATAAGTATTTTTTCACTCTACCGTGTCTGCTAATATTTATCTTTGTGGACTCTGAGGATTAATTAATTTCCATAAATTAGACAGTATATCTATTACCTTCTTCTTTCCTTCCATTTTAAGCAAAAGGAAGACGAGGGAAAGTAGTTTGTAAAGAAAATGCAAAAAAAAATAATTTAAAAATTAGTGCCTCCCCATGTTCCAGAAAGGAGGTGAAAGGCTGTTTTTTGAAGACTATTGGATATGAAACAATTTTACATTTTTTACTGTAGATCTATATACATTGCACCATTTACAGCTGAGTGGATATGAGTTCCTCAATCTCATTGGCTGCCGTAAAAATTTGTAATATGTATTTGCATTTTTAAAGCTCCCGATTACTTGAAATAATGCTTAATTTTTTTATGTTCCTAATCTATATAGTATTAGCTAGACCATCAAACTTACTCCTGGTCCAAATGTGTAGAAATGCTAGCAATATTCATCATCTCAGTGAAGATAGTAGTTATCCCCCTTAATAAAATCCATACAAATTAATGAACTAATTTTCTGACGGAGGAAAGTAAAAATAGGAAAGTATTTATAGTTGAGACTCCACCCTTAAACAGCTGTGCTTAGCATTTGGAGCTTAGATGTGAGCACTGGGGAAAATAAGATCTTCTATGCCATTCAACTCCTTAGTTATAGTCACTAAAATGATTTGAAATAGAGAATTTCATATTTCATTCTAAACATTCTCCCCTATATATGCTGATTTCCTGGGATTTCTTTTATTTAACACTATATTAGTCATATATCGTTTCCTATTATCTTCGAAATTTTGATGAGGTAAGACAGTTTTTTGCATATAGGTGTTTTTTTTTTTGAGTGGGGAGGGGTCGGTCTTTGTTGTAAATGACGTGGCATTGTTTGTTTTTGCGGTTTTGCCATCCCTGCTGTCGTATGATTGTTATCGATCTCTGTGCTGATTGGTTAAAAATGATGTGTTTCTTGCTAATGAATTAGGACGCCGGGAAAGAGCAGTGTGTTTTTCCGTTGCCCGAGCCCCAGGACCTGTTTCAGGCTTCGCAGATGAAGTTTGAGGATTTTCAAAAAGATCTCAGAAAACTAAAGAAGGACCTGAAAGGTAACGGAGCATCTTAAAGAAACTCATGTTTGTTAGTCATGCTTTTTTTTTTTTTTTTAATAAGAGAAGCTAGACTTTTTGATGTTCTTGAACAAAAAGTCTTTTAGAGCCTCGTAGAACTGAAAATTGTTTAGTATGGCTAAAGAAAAATTTTTTTTTTTTTACCAATCATCTTATTGTTTTGTTGTTTAAAAAGCTGGCTATTTGAATAGTCATCTCTTTCATCAGGAGCAAATTTGTCTTGTGTTTACAGCCAAGAACATTTGTGTGTTTTATCTTGTCATTGTTGAAAGATGACCAGGCCCTCCCAGCCCTCCCTTCATACACTTGCCCAAGACTTTGTAGCTTGTGAACTTTCTTGGGGACAAAACATCTTCTTTCACATATGTGGTCTAAAAGCACACGTGTGTATGTCTTGTTGTTAGTTTGCGAAGCCTTATATCAGTTTGAAGTCTGAAATTCATCAGATTTCTACTTTAAGAGTAATATTTACACAAAAGTAAACAGTGTACCCTTTTAAAAATTATGTTGTGGTTAAAATCTCTTTTATTCTCTGGTCATGAGGTTTCTTATTGTTATGGAGCTGCGAACACCTCTGCTAGCTAAGCCTCTATCTCACTCTATCGGGCACAGACAGGGAGTGAGTAAATGTATGTGAATTTTCTTTTCTTTTTAAAAAATATATATTTTATTGATTTTTCACAGAGAGGAAGGGAGAGGGACAGAGAGTTAGAAACATCAATGAGAGAGAAACATCGATCAGCTGCCTCCTGCACACTCCCCACTGGGTATGTGCCGGCAACCAAGGTACATGCCCTTGGCCAGAATCGAACCGGGGACCCTTGAGTCCGCAGACCGACGCTCTATCCACTGATTCAAACCGGCTAGGGCAGTGAATTCTCATTGGATGTGTAACTACAGGAAAAAAAGAGGCGTGGTTACCCCTGTCCAAAAACCACTCAGATGATGTAACTTTTTAAGAGATTCTACCCAATTTGGAAATGCTTATCCAAACTGATCTATAATGAAATGTATGGGGTCATATATATTCTGGTCGCCGATGCTTTTATGTGGATTAAAATGCACACAATAACATTGCATAATTGGCTTGCAGTTTCTAAACACTCAGCACCCCTTATTATGAGCCTGACGCAGATTGGGCATTTGTGGGTGCATTGGGTACCCTCAAATATGGGTGTTCATTTACTGAACCCAAGAATGACAAGTTTGTTTAAAATAAATAAATAAAATTATGTTATGTTTGTATAGCCCTATGTTATGATGTATTTAAGTATGACTTTTAAAAACATTAAAAGACAAACCATATAGTATTTATCTTCCTTCAAAATTATGCCAGGTATATCGGTTTACAGGTTTGCTTATTAATATCTCCCACCCTCAGTGCTAGGGGCATTTCTGGGGGATCAGAAAAATGCTTTATACTTTTATTAACAACTCAGTCTTGCAAAGTAGGACTTCATAGTTTACAGGGGAGTGGAGAAAGGAGAGGAATGGCGATCGTACTTCTAGGGAACGTACGTTTGCTTATGATGGGAATGGTACCTCACTTATTTTTCGTATCTACATGCTTTCTTCCTGTAGTTATTAAATATACAGGTAGCCATGAAAATTGCAAGTTCTCACAAGACTTAGGGCTAGACAGGGAGAACTCACAGACACCAGATAGTGGGTTTGAAGAGGACCAATAGCCACTGCCATTGTCCTTCTTCCTCTTGCACATCTGTCTTCTCCAGTGATGGGGTGGCTCCAGATGAAACATTGAAGGAGCATCTTAGCAAGTTTTGAGCACCTCACAGGGTTAAGAAGGTAATGATTTTCACTCAAAGGGTTTACTCCTTATCTGTAACTAGAGGCCCGGTGCATGAAATTCG